GGCTTCAGGGCTTCAGGGCTTCAGGGCTTTAGGGCTTTAGGGCTTAGGGTTTAGGGTTTAGGCTTCAGGGCTTCAGGGCTTTAGGGCTTCAGGGCTTCAGGGCTTTAGGGCTTTAGGGCTTAGGGTTTAGGGTTTAGGGCTTTAGGCTTTAGGGTTTTAGGGTTTAGGGCTTTAGGGCTTTAGGGTTTTGGGCTTTAGGCTTTAGGGTTTTAGGGTTTTAGGGCTTTAGGGTTTTGGGTTTTAGGGTTGAGGGTTTTAGGGCTTCTGGTTACTAAGCTTACTTTCAAAAGAGCATTCGGGTTTTAGGGCTTTCGGTTCCTAAGCTTACTTTCAAAGGGGTTCTAGGGTTTTAGGGCTGTAGGGCTGTGGGGATTTAGGGTGTGAGGGCTTGGGTTTACTAAGCTTGCCTTCAAAGGTCGAGGAGCAAACGTTCAGCGCCGAATTGAAGCGCTTGGGAACGCCCTTGTGGGCCCTAAACCCTAAACCCTAAACCCTAAACCCTAAACCCTAAACCCTAAACCCTAAACCCTAAACCCTAAACCCTAAACCCTAAACCCTAAACCCTCCCATCCAAGTCCACAATCCTCCTTGGGCTGTCCGAAGAACTCGCCAACTGCTGGGTACGGCACCTGCACCAGTGGAGGGTTTAGGGTTTAGGGTTTGGGGTTTAGGGTTTAGGGCCATCCTATCTAGCGAACTGCAGGCTGAAACTCGCAGAGTGATGGCAGGGATTCGGGTTTAGGGTGTTTAGGGCTGAAGGATTCCCTAAACCCTAAACCCCAAACCCTAAACCCTAAACCCTAAACCCTAAACCCCAAACCCTAAACCCCAAACCCTGAACCCTCTCCGGGGTGCACCGTGAAGTTCATGGTCCGGAGCAGCCAGACGAGCTTCAGCACCTCGGCTCGGGTTTTACAAATCCCTCAAACCCAAGAAGCAAAGGTTGCCTCCCTAAACCCTAAACCCGAAGCCCTAAACCCTAAACCCTAAACCCTAAACCCTGGCTTTCGCAAGTTAAGGGGTATAAGGAAGGACCCCTAGAAGGGACCCTTAATCTTCCCTAAAGGAGGGACCGCTGCAAGCGCCTTAGGGGTTATATAGTCCCTTGAGCAAGGGAAAGAGGGAATTAGGTACCAAATCTTATCCCCTTTTACAAACCTTTTCAGGGACTACATGTGTTGCCTAATTCCGAATCCCTTAGAAAGGGTTTTTGCAAGGGGTTGCAAAGTGCCTCGTTCCCTCATTACAAGTACCCTTTGCTGACCGGACTTGCTGAAAAGGTAGGGCTGAGGGCATCTAAGGCTCAGGGACATAGGCTTCCGCAGGAGACCCGAACTCTGAAACTATACCCGCTCACTGAAGCCCCAAAAACCCTAAAAGGAAACCCCCCGAATCCCTAAACCAACCCTAGCCCTAGCCCTAAACCCTAAACCCTAAAATTAAGAAAGCCCCAAACCCTGAAGAACCTGGGGTTCTGGCCCACTCCTCCCCTCCTGGCTCCCCTGCTGCAAGGCCTTGCAAGGGTTCGCGGCTTCGACTCTAGGGAGGGGAAGGTGGGGGGGGGGGGGGCTGGTTTTGGCTTAAGGACTTAGGGTCTGGGGTCTAAGGTTTAAGGTTTAGGGTTTAAAGGTTCGGGATTACGGTTCAGGGCTTAGGGTTAGGGTCGAGGGTTTAGGGTTTATGGTTCAGGGATGGCGCTGCCACTGAATAGAACGACAGCAGGCTTAAGACCCGACAAGACCTGCCTCTCAAAAGAACTCAAGGTATTCTGCGTGAGTTTGGGTTTCGGGCTTTAAGTCCCAGAGCCCAACTCACGAAGTCCCGAAATCCCTACACCCTAAACCGTAAACCCTAAACCCTAAACCCCAAACCCGAAACCCTAAACCCTAACCCCTAAACCTCCCTCCCCGTGCCCGTGCCTCCCACCGGAGGTACCGGGATCGAGTCGGCCAGGCCGGACTTCTCAAAGATCGCTCGCGCCTCTCGGCTCCAGGAGCTCTTTAGGGTTTAGGGTTTAGGGTTTAGGGTTTAGGGTTTAGGGTTTAGGGTTCAGGGTTTAGGGTTTAGGGGCTTGAGGGATTTTGGGCTTAGGGTTTAGGGTTGAGGCTTGAGGGGTTGAGGGTTACGTGGTCTTACGGGGTTTCAGGGGTTTAGGGTTTAAGGGTTGAGGGTTGAAGGGGTTGAGGGGTTAGGCTTGAGGAAAGAAGCCTCAGACCCCGGACCCCTTTGTCATGCACGGTCTTGGCAAGGCTCAGGCTACAGGATGGATTAGTATAGGCTGTTCTATGTATGTGTATATATGTATGTGTATATATATATATATATATATATTCATATCTAACTGCATACATGTATATATTAACTAACTAACTAACGAACGAACGAACTAACTAGCTAACTAACGGTATACTTTGAATGTCACATTGTATTCTGTGTAGATATTGCTACGTATGACTCAAAAGTAGCTTGCGAGTGATCTCCAGGGCTTGAGGACTTCGGGCTCAAGACGCGCGCGCGGAGCCGCTCCTTCTTTGGGCTCTCCTCGATCTTTCCCATCAGCTCCCAGACAGACTTCCGGCGCTGCCACCTCAACTCTGACGTCACTCTCGTCCACTTCTTCCTTTCCTTCCTCTCCATCGCTCAGACCCCCAAGCTGCGCTCTTCTTCTTCGTCTTCTTCTATAGCTGAGAGCCCCTTAAACAGCGCTCTTTTTCTTCTGCCGCTTTCTTTTGCCTGGGTGGCGTGTGGCAAGGGAGGCGCTCTGAAAATGCCCGGCCCGAAGGCATCGGTCCATGTCTGCTGGTCTTGAAGGCGGTTGTTAAGTCGAGCCGCCTGGGAGAGACCATGATTGGAGTCCTCATTTTTCAGGGAATCCTACTTTTTTGGGTCTATATTAGGGGTCCCTCATTAACCCTAAACCCTAAACCCTAAACCCTAAACCCTAAACCCTAAACCCTAAACCCTAAACCCTAAACCCTAAACCCTAAACCCTAAACCCCCATGTGTTTGCTTCGAAAAACTGGGGCCCTGGCTGCATCTGCAGCTTCTCCAGCTCTGTAGTGCTGGCTGCCAGCCTGTCGCCTCACAAGTAGGAGCTGCCGTAATATGGGGGTCGGAATAATTGCTAACAGTAACTTTAATAGTACTCCTTATGGTCCCTATGAAAAAACTACAATAACCCCCCAAAAACCTGTTCCAAAATATTTAGGTTAGCCCAGGGCTCTTTCTCAAACTTGAAGCATGCAGCCACTGCACGTTGCACGCTTTCTTGTCTTAAGCGCATAGTGGTACAGTGGGATCCCGGCTGTCGATGGTCTGAGTGTCGCTGATGAACGCAGCGATCATCTTTGTCAGGACCTAGGAACGGACTGGCTCGAAATGCGGTAGGAGCTCCACTTCTTGGCAGCCCAACAACCATATGACAATGACCAGGCTACCCTTTCTTGGGGTTGGGCTACTTGATTAGAGAACCTTGAACCAAAAAAAGGGTCATACTCCAAGACCCCTTAATTCAGGAATAGAATATACCTTAAGCCTTAAACCATACATTAAGGATCCCTACTCATCATGTCGCTTGACAGGTCAGTAGGTTTTGCCTACAACGAATGCCACTGGCGACTTCGGCTTTCCGGGCTCCTTATAAGGATCCCTACGTAATTTAAGGTACATCCCTTCATTCAGTGGTAGGGAAGCCCTAAACCCCTAAACCCCTAAACCCCTAAACCCCTGAACCCCTAAACCCCTGAACCCCTAAACCCTAAACCCCTAAACCCCTAAACCCCTAAACCCCTAAACCCCTAAACCCCTAAACCCCTAAACCCCTAAACCCCTAAACCCCTAAACCCCTACACCCCTAAACCCTAAACCCTAAACCCTAACCCTAAACCCTAAACCGTAAACCCTAAACCCTGTATTAAGGCGTATTGGGCTCTTTGGGTACCAACGCTGCGGGATGGCATCGCTGGGACCCCGGCCGCCGAGCAGAGCTGGGAGAGCTGGGCAGGCATTGGGTTCAGGGTTTAGGGTTTAGGGTTTAGGGTTTAGGGTTTAGGGTTTAGGGTTTGGGGTTTAGGGTTTAGGGTTTAGGGTTTAGGGTTTAGGGTTTAGGGTTTGGGGTTCAGGGTTTGGGGTTTAGGGGTTAGGGTCTAGGGTTCAGGGTTTGCAAGGACAGACATATGGTGACTTCTCTGAATCATGGTCCCTTCTAGGGTCCTTACTTTCAGGCGGCCTTTATTCTTCAGGGTACCCAAAAAAGGGACAATAACTTAGAGAACTGACCAGATGATGAAGTTCCCGATCTAGATCGGGAAAAGCAGCTTCTCAAGATAAGGACAACTTAGCCCCGGCCTATGGACGCTAAACAAACTGAGCCGCTGACCTGGGCCGGCAGAGGCCGTTCGCTCGTTGGCGGCCTGTTTAGCGAACGTGAGACGCAGCTTTGCTTAATCCCAGCTTGATCCTTGGACCACTTCAGGCATCCGCCCTACTAGCTGCTAAAATCTGGTGGGTTAACCACATGTAGGCAGGAGTGCCTGCAGGTAACCCTAAACCCTAAACCCTAAATCCAGACACTCAATGCCCCCAATGCCACAGGCCTTTCGCTGACGAGCTGCACGGCTTTGCCGGCGATCTGCACCAGCCCGGAAGGTAGGCGAGCTTCAATCGATCGGACGATCTCCCCCCCCCAAGCCCTGAAACCCTAAACCCTACACCTAGAACGTGATATCCAGGGGTTTAGGGTTTAGGGTCCGAAAGCCTTAAATCGCAACCCCAACGTCGTCGCAGGATCTTTCCAGTTCTTTTCGTCGGGAACTCGGGATGTATGTACCTTAGATTCCCCCTACAGATCCTTTCCAGTAGAGAATTAGGGGAACTCGATGCCCTGTTAGTACTCCTTTACAGGGCTATAGAGGGGGATATCAGGTACCCTGAATAAGGCACCCTAAACCCTAAACCCGAACAGAAAGGACCCTGTACCCTAAACCCTAGTTCCCGGCTGAGAACCAGTAAGATGAAAGTGCTCCAACCCGCCTGCTCCAGAAGGGGCGGCCGTCTCCAGTCACCGTCAAAAGAAAACCAGATGGCCTGCACCTTGACGACTGGGAGCCGATCCAGTTTTCCAGCACCCGTATGGTTTAGGGTTTAGGGTTTAGGGTTTAGGGTTTAGGGTTTAGGGTTTAGGGTTTAGGGTTTAGGGTTTAGGGTTTAGGGTTTAGGGTTTATACTTTATAGTTTAGGGTTTAGGGTTCAGGTTTCAGGGTATAGGGTTTAGGGTTTTTAGTAGGGGATCCCAAGTATGGGCCCTTACCCTATTGTACAAGGGTAAGGGGCCATACTATGGGCCCATGGTTCAAACCTCAAATTTAGGGCAGGTTTAGGGTTTGGGGCCTTTGCTTGTGGACAGGTGCCAAGAGTGAATGAGTTGTCCAAACACATCGCTTGGTCGAAAAGGACACCTTTGAATCGGACCTGTGCATGAGGGACCTCTAAACCCTAAATTGTTTCATAACAGCATGTATTAAATGGGAAGTCTAGAGTTTAGGGGTTTTAAGGCGTCACAGCTTGGCGCCGCGAGTCACGCGCCGAGTGTGTAACGTTTAGGGCTTTGGGTTTACGGATGCGGTTGGCAAGGGTTGAGGCTTCAGAAAAGAGTCGGCTTGAGGGTCTTGGCTCCAGGGCAGAGGTTTGTGCGTACATTGCAGTTTTGTGCCGGCAAACAACCGAAGCAAAGCGGAGTCACACGCCCTAAGCCCTCAGCCTTAAACGGTTCCGCGTCTTGCTCCCCCACACGCCATCAGCCAGAAGGTCCACTGGTAGCAGGCCATCATACTGTAGAAATTGTGCCCACCAAAAACATGCCCCTAAACCATCAACCCGAAACCTACTAGGGTTTCGGGGTCTCGAACTTCCGCGACGCTACAACGGGTCTTCGAGCCGGGAATCCAAACTAGGCAGCCCTCCAGCACCGGTCTACCACAGACCTTGGGTTTAGGGTTTAGGGTTTAGGGTTTAGGGTTTAGGGTTTAGGGTTTAGGGTTTAGGGTTTAGGGTTTAGGGTTTAGGGTTTAGGGTTTAGGGTTTAGGGTTTAGGGTTTAGGGTTTAGACAATTGCATGCTGTGGCAGGCGCTAAACTTGGCTGGAGCAGGTCGCACAAGGACTCCAGCAGCAACCTCGGAAAGTCAGACGGCGCAGGATCATAAATCCTTTTCGCACGAAACCGCCAAGGACAGAAGCTGGGATGCAAACTCTAGTAGGTGCACCGCCTGGCACCCATCACTGCAAAGCGTTTCGCGGCCGGGGGCGGGAGGATGAGGGGTGGGTGGGTGGTTGATTGGTCACACTGGCACCACAGCTACAGATATACAGTTTAGGGTTTCGGGAGAAAGCCAAGGCTGGAGGCCCGTCTCGAGCACCGCGGGAAGTTTGCGGGGCCTCCTCAGGCGGCAGACCCTCGCTCGGTGCTTCCGCCAAGAGTGCCGCAACCTGAGCATGGTAGTGGCTGAATGTTGAGCACTTCAAGCACACGTCTCGATCGCAAGTCGGAAGCTGCAGCTCATGCGAACTAGAGCGCACCGGCTTGCAGACAGGCCGGCATCGCTTTTGCCATGCGTTGTCTGCTTGCAGTCTGTAGAATCTGCGAATCTGTCGGTGGATCCGGTGGATGCGACGGTCCGGGCCCTGACGCTGTGACGGGCACGGCAGGACGTACGTGAGCATCACTTAAACCAGCTTAAGCCTCGATATGGATCCGGCCACTTGTGGGCCACAAAATGGTCAAAACCGAGCCAGGTGAACAAGGCACCCTACCTCATGGAAAACATGGGGGAGACGCTGTCTAACTCACCCCCCCTGGGGAAACCAAAAGTCACACACAAGTCACACGCATGCACGATTGCGATGCCTCAGTTCGCATCGATCTTGTTCCAAACACCGGACGGAAGGACGATGAACTGCTGTGCAAAGTCCTCCATCTTCCAGAGCCTTGGTCCCAGCAACCATATGAAAATAAGGGAACCTCAAACGACGCCCTTGGGGTTTAGGGTTTAGGGTTCAGGGTTCAGGGCTTAGGGCTAGGGTTTAGGGAAATAAGGGTACCCGTTTTTGTGGTTTGGCGACTTTACAAGGGAGCCTTTGAACCAAAAAAGGGGGGGCAAAAGGGGGTACCCTAAACCCTAAACCCTAAACCCTGAACCCTGAACCCTTAACCCTAAACCCTAAACCCTAACCACTGGGCTTCCGCAAGGAAGCCGGCCACGAAGGTCGCTGATCTTCTGGCTGGCATCATTGATGTTGTGGACCAAGGACTCCTCGGATGGCCCTGAAAGCCCCACCCCTGTGTTGGTTTAGGGTTTAGGGTTTAGGGTTTAGGGTTTAGGGTTTAGGGTTTAGGGTTTGGGGTTTGGGGTTTGGGGTTTGGGGTTTAGGGTTTAGGGTTTAGGGTTTGGGGTTTGGGGCTTAGGGTTTAGGGTTTATGGTTTAGGGTGAAAATGTATTCCTGCATATGAGCCTCGGAAACCCAATAAGGGAAATATAAAAATGTCCCAAAGGGCCTGCCCTAGACTCATAATCAGCCTGCAGTTGCTGGGCATACTTGTTGTCATACTCTTCGACGTCGGCCTTGACGCGGAGCACCAGATTGATCTTCTTGTCCTGGGGTGTGTTTTTCTGGGTGCGGAGTGGGCTTTTTGTCAGGTACAGCCGCCGAAACCCAAACAGGCTCTGGCAAACCCTGAGCAGCCACACACACAGACACACAGACACACAGACACACAGACACACAGACACACAGACACACAGACACACAGACACACAGACACACAGACACACAGACACACAGACACACACACACACACACACACACTGTCAGACAGAGTCAGACAGACAGAGACAGACAGCCAGACAGACACACACACACACACAGAGATGTATATATACATATAGATATAGATATATATATGTACGTACATATAGTAAGGAATATATTGCCTTTTACTCTACATACAACATAGTGTGATAACAGCGCTTCCTGGAGGAGAATGGTGCTGTTCGGTGCCGCCTTGGGAAGCGGGAAGGAGCCATTGGCCCTCCAGCGCTCTGGGTGCTCCCCATGGGGGCCGTAGGGCGAGGACGTGATGACCTTATTTGAAGGGGTTTAGGGTTTGGAGCTTGGGTTTGGGGTTTAGGGTTTAGGGTTTAGGGTTTAGGGTATAGGGTATAGGGTATAGGGTTTAGGGTTTAGGGTTTAGGGTTTAGGGCCCCAAAAAGAGGGTACACTTTCAGTTCTATAGGGGATTAGAGTATCCAACAAAAGTGTCGAAGTGTACTCACTCAGCTACGAAGTGACATTTCCGACGCCCCAGCGCTTGCGGTCAACCATGGTCTTCAAGTTCCACACGACATCCATCTCCTGGTCACCTACAGCCTAAGCCTTAAAACTGCATCCTAAACCCTCAACCCTAAACCCTAGACCCTCAACCCTAAACCGTAAACCCTAAACCCTGAGCCCAGGATGTGACGGCGGCTTGCGGAAAGGTAGGCTAGTCTGACTGAGCGAGCCGCATTTGCAGCGATACCCGAAGGCACCAAAAGGCCTTCAGCCCAGTCTCGCTGGTCAGAAGCTAACCTTCAACCCAGCTTCCTTTGTTCAGATAACTCTGGTCAGAAAAGCCTTCAACACCCTACACGCCCCCCCACAAGGCTTCAATCCAGCAGTTTCCTTTGCTGAGATAACCTGTAGCGAGCCTAGACCCTAAACCCCCGAAAAGTCTTCGATCCAGCGTCCCCAAGCCCCAAACCCGCAAACCCTAAACCCTAAACCCTAAACCCTAAACTCCCTCAACACTTCCAGCGTCTCCTTGTTCAGATAGATCAGCATCCTGTTGATGTACCGGGCCCTTGGGGGCAGATCCTGCTTCAAGGCCCGTGGCTCCTCCTGAGGGGGGGTTTAGGGTTTAGGGTTTAGGGTTTAGGGTTTAGGGTTTAGGGTTTAGGGTTTAGGGTTTAGGGTTTAGGGTTTAGGGTTTAGGGTCCTCCTTAGCAACAGCCTGAAACCCGAATCACACACGACAACCGCCTCAAGGTACTAGATACGTGGGTAGTTTGGCTCCCTGGTGAACCCGAAGTACTAAGCCCCAGAGTACTGCAGGGCCTAGCCAGGTTTGGGGAGGGGAAGATGTAGAGCTGCCTTTGGAATTTTTGAATTTCACCCTAAACCCCAAACCCCAAACCCTAAACTCTAAACTTAAACCCTAAACCCTAAACCCTCGTTCCTCGGACAGCCAACGGCCTGTTCGGTTCCAGACCACGTCATGGCCAGTGGCATTTGCCACCAGCTGCATCGTGTAGTTGACGTATCCTGGGCTTTCCTCCTACCATCCTAAACCCTGAACCCTAAACCCTACACCCTAAACCCCAAACCCTAAACCCTAAACCCTAAACCCTAAACCCGAACTCCTACTTCGATGTTAGACACGCGGAGATGCAACGTAACAGCAAGACGGCTGCCAAGCCCAATCCCGGTCTCCGTCGAGGATTTGGAGCACCTGGTACTCCTGCACTATGGAAGTCTGAAGCGGCTTCAGCGTTTAGGGTTTCGGGTTTAAGAAACCCAAACTCCTGCACAATCGGAGTCTGAAGCGGCTGCAGAATCTTCTTGAAGTGGTTCTTGGTCCGCCTGCTGATGTCCCTCAGCCACTTCTCGCTTCGGACGGGCTCTTCGACAGCCTCCTTAGTAAGCAGCCCTTGCTTAAGAACAGCCGACAAGTAGACTGAGTCTGTTCTTTTCTAAGTAGAACCCTGCAACCCTTTACAACCTCAGGTCAAAACCCTATAACCATAAGCCTTCCTAAACCCTCTACACCTCTTACCACCCCATACACCCTCAAAACCCTATAACCCTTCCTAAAGCACCCTCCTACAACCCCATACACCCTAAACACAACCCTCTAACCCTTCCGAAAACCCTCTACACCCTACACCCAGAAATGAAAGGCGAGGCTCCTCAAAAGGGTCTGTACCTCGCAACTGCGCGCTGGTAAAGGGCTCGGGCTCGAAGAGCTGGGGCTCTGCCGCACCCAAAGTGGCCGCACACAAGAGCGCCAGAGGGAGGAGAGCCATGGGGCGCTTCTGGGATGCTTTCTGGGATGCTTTCTGGTGCTTCCTGGAGGCTTAAAAGGCTTCGGACCAGGATGACAGCGCAACAGATCACGCGCATGACGGCCGTTTAGGCTTCGGAGGAACTTGGCTGCCGGCCGCAAATTCCAGGCTCCGGATGTAAACGCCTCTGGGGTTTAGGGTTTCGGGTTTAGGGTTTAGGGTTTAGGGTTTTGGGATTAGGGTTGTTTGAGCACTTGAAGCTAAACTGCACACACAGACTTACTCCGTCGCTGACTGATTGACTGGCATGCGCCCGACTGGGACTGCCGGGGCTCACGCCGGAGAGGAGAGCATCCACCTGTCATACTTGCTGTGCTTAGGGTTTAGGATTTGGGTTTACGGTTTAGGGTTTAGGGTGTAGGGTTTAGGGTTTACGGTTTAGGGTAGCTAAATCCATTCTTGGGCTCAACCTAGCGACCCTAAACCATAAAGCCCTGGAATCCTAAACCCCGAAATCCCTCCACCCCTGACGCCCTAAACCTTTTGGGACATGACGACCGTTGGACGGGGGGAAGGTTACCCCTTATACACCCTATAAACCCCGAGACTCCTTGCTTCAGCACCTTTTAAAGAAGGCCAGGGAAAACATTGACTTTGGGACCCTGAAACTTCGCTTCGAAAACCCTTAATGATCAAAATGGGTTTTGAGGGAAGGAGCATTACGGTACTTAGGGACCATCGGGGAATACTATTAGTAATTCTTCCGATGCCTACCCGCAGTCGGGGCCTGCAGTGCGCCGAGGGCCGCTGGGGTGGCGGCCGCCTCGCGAAAAGGAGCAACTGTTCTTGATTGTGCGGGTTCAGGCTTAGGGCTTAGGGTTTAGGGTTTTATTTTTAGGGTTTAGGGTTTTGGGTTTGGGGTTTAGGGTTTCGGCTTAGGGGATATAGGATTTAGGGTTCTGGTTGAGGGGGAGGGGGGGGGGGTGGGAGGGAGCATAAAAGGGTTACCAAATTAAAGGCCTTCACTATACTAACGGCCCTTCCAACTGCCCCAGAATGGCTTTGAGGGTTTTGGAGTTTAGGGGTTTAGGGTTTGATTTAGGAGGAGGGGTTTAGGATTCACGTAAGGTTTGGGCTTAGGGTTCAGAGAGAAGTCTTTTGAGTCCAGGCATGGATTTGCCGACTCCACATGCTGCAGGGGTTAGGGTTTAGGGTTTAGGGTTTAGGGTTTAGGGTTTAGGGTTTAGGGTTTAGGGTTTAGGGTTTAGGGTTTAGGGTTTAGGGTTTAGGGTTTAGGGTTTAGGGTCGCCCACGTGGCGAGCCGTGCGTTGACAGCTTCTTGGGCTCCGCGCGCGCTCTCCCCAGCAGTCGACGCAGAGCCAGCAGATTCGATTCACAACCTCATGCTTGAATCAAGCTTGCGTCGTGACGCATGTCAGACGCCAGAGTTTAAGCCTCTTCCCTGCTAATTAGTAGAGAAGAGAGAGAGAGAGAGCGAAAAAAAAAAAAAACAAGAGGAAGGTGAAGCAAACAGCCCACCGTCCAAGGCTGGCGCAGGCAGCACCAGGGAGAGAAGCGGTAGACTGCCCGGGAAAAGCTTGCAGAAACCTCCAGGCCAGCGCATGTACTTCTGAAGGAACAGCTTCAGCTCAACCTTACAAGCTCTCAGCCGCCGGCTTAGCAACAGCAAAGGAATGTCGTTCTGGAAAAATCGGCCCTCGCAGCAGGCAGTGATGGTTTAGGGTTCGGGGTCAGGGTTCAGGATTTAAGGTTAGTAAGGTTCAGGGCTTTAGGGCCTTTGGGCTAAGGATGGTTTAGGATGGGTTAGGGGTGTTTGGAATTAAGGGTTGAGCATCTAGGCTCAAAGCTGAGAACGACGGTAACATCCTCCAGACACTACCCTAAACCCTAAACCCTGGCGTGCCTGAATGCCATCTCCCATGGCCCATCGTCTGGATGACGGGTGCATGGCCTCCAGCGAATGCCCATAGGAAAGCGAAGGAAAAGGGGTTAGGGTTTAGGGTTTAGGATTTAGGGCTAGGGTTTAGGGTTAGGGTGTAGGGTTAGGGTTTAGGGTTTAGGGTTTAGGGTTTAGGGTTTAGGGTTCAGGGTTTAGGGTTTAGGGTTTAGGGTTTAGGGTTTAGGGTTTAGGGTTTAGGGTTTAGGGCTTAATTAGGGTTTAGGGTTTAGGGTTTAGGGTTTAGGGTTTAGGGTTTAGGGTTTATCAGGCACCGCACCTGTGTTGCGGCTGCTGCTTACTGCCGAAAGCGAGCGCGCGTTTCCAGTCGTGCAGACACTGTAAACTCATGAGAAAAACCACAAAGCTCCTAGTTACCACGCCCAGTGCACCACCTTTCCTAAGGGTGCGAAGCTCTCCCTACCATGCCCATGTCGCCAGCTGAGCGGATTTTCCGGCGCTAGATGCGAGTGCTGCAGATGCTTGTCGGAGCTCCATGACGGAGGGAACGTGCTGCTGCAACCTAAACCCTAAGCCCTAAACCCTAAACCCCCAACCCCGTCAACCCCAAAAATACCCCAAAAAAATACCCCAAAACCCTCAACCCTGTGACCCGCCCCCCCATGTGGCGGCGAGGCCGCGGCCAGTCTCTGCAAGCATCTCAGGTACCTTGGAACGAGGTTTTGGGGCTCCGAAGTAAACCCCAAACTCCTGGGCCCCAAGCCCCATAGCCTCATTCCCGAAACCCGAAGACCCAAAATCCAAAAACCACATCCTTGAGACTTTGCGACCGATAAGCCCCCTGCGCCACAAGCCCCGACAACTCCTCAAACCAGTGGCTAGGACAAACTCTGAACCCTTAACCCCAAAAACAGGCTTTGCCCCTGAAGCCCTGGAGCCCCCAAAAAGGGTTCAGGGTTTAGGGTTCAGGGTTCAGGGTTGAGGGTTTAGGGTTGAGGGTTGGTTCAGGGTTTAGGGTGTAAGAAGGCAGGGGGCGGGGCGAAGCCCCCCCCCCCTCCTCAAAAAAAACACGCAAACCAGTATTCTCAGCCTTAGAGCCCTACACCAGAAACGAGAAGCCCTAAACCTAGCCCTAAACTACAATCCCTACATCCCCTTGAGGCCCCTTAAACGCTAAACCCTTTATAACGTAAACCCTGAAACTCGATAGCCCGCCCAAACTAGACCCGGGAGTAACCTAGTAAAAAAAGGGTACCCTTTTTGGTTTTAAGGGGATCAGAAGGGAATCCCAACCAAAAAAAAACAAAGGGCCTACTCCCGGTCCTAGCTAAAAAAACCCTCAACCCTCAACCCTCAACCCTCGACCCTCAACCCTCAACCCTAACCCCTAACCCCTAAAGCCCCTGCGAATCCCACTTCAGGCCGAGTGGCAGCAAAGCTCTCTCGAGAGCCATGCCGGGCCTACAGCCGGAGGCATGGGAGTTTAGGATGTTAGGTGTTAGGGTGTTAGGGTGTTAGGGTGTTCGGGTGTTAGGGTGTTAGGGTGTTAGGGTGTTAGGGTGTTAGGGTGTTAGGGTGCTAGGGTGCTAGGGTGTTAGGGTGTTAGGGTGTTAGGGTGCTAGGGTGTTAGGGTGTTAGGGTGTTAGGGTGTTAGGGTGTTAGGGTGCTAGGGTGTTAGGGTGCTAGGGTGTTAGGGTGTTAGGGTGTTAGGGTGCTAGGGTTGAGGGTTGAAGGCTTTTTTATGGGCTTTTAAGGGTTTCTAAGGTTTTTTTAAGGGTCTTTAAGGGTATTCAAGGGATTTCTGACAAATGCTGCGGATATTTCTTGCTCTATCCCAAACATCGAGGCGTGTAAGGATGCGGAGGGCATGAGGCGTGAGAGGTTTTGCGTTGCGCTTGAAGCTATTGACTTGCTTTGGGTTTTTTGGGGTTAGCCAAGAGGGGATTTGGGCTGCCGTCGGGTTTGCGAAGTCATTTGGTTGCGCACGACGCGTTTAAAAAACCGGCGAGAGTCATTAAACCCCCAAACCCTTAAACCCTAGTTGCTAGAAAAAGCACGAATGCAACTCAAAGACGCAATTTTCCGACTCGACTTCCAGTCTCTTTAGGCTGGCCCTCCAAAAACCATCTGACAAATAACCACATAAGATTCTCTTCAAGATCTAGGGTGTGGGAACCCTAAACCCTACCCCCTAACCCTAAACTCCAAACCCTCAACTTCTAAACCCTAAACCCTAAACCCTAGACCCTAGACCCTAGACCCTAAACCCTAAACCCTAAACCCTAAACCCTAAACCATAAACCCCAAACCCTAAACCCTAACCCTAACCGGTTTATGGTGTAGGGTGCAGGGCTAAGGACTGGGAAATCTGAGCGCGTTTTGTGGGGCGCCGGCTCGGCTTCTGCAGCCATGTTCCCTGAGAGGGTTTAGGGTTTAGGGTTTAGGGTTTGGGGTTGAGGGTTGAGGGTTGAGGGTTTAGGGTTTAGGGTGTAGGGTTTAGAGTTTAGGGTTTAGGGTTGAGGGTTGACGGTTGAGGTTTGAGGGTTTAGGGTTTAGGGCTTAGGGTTTAGGGTTTAGGATTTAGGGTTTAGGGTTTAGGGTTTAGGGTTAGGGTTTAGGGCTGAATCCTCTTAAACCCTTAACCCCAAACCCTAAACCTAAACCCTAAACCCTAAAACCTCCCAAGCAGGGGGGCCTGAGAGGTACGACTGTCCTGCATTACCTGCTTCAGATAGTTTCTGTACCAACCGGGGTTCGGGTTTCGGGTTTAGGGTTCTGGCTCAGGGTGTGGAAGCAGCAAAGCAGCTCCCCGCACCCAGAAACCCTCGTCGGCCCTACTTCTAACCAAAAAGGGAGGGCTTAGGGTTTAGGGTCGAGGGTCTGAGGATGTGTAACATGTGGCCCCGGGCTTCCATACCTTTGGTAGGTTCCCGGAACTGAGGCTTCTGTGGGCTCCAGCTTCATTCCTAGCTTCGAGGACAGGTCTCACTGGTCTTGTGCTAGCACCCCTCAACCCTAAACCCTCAGCATCCCTAACCTCTAACCCTAAACCTAATAAGCATCCCTAACCTTTAACCCTAAACCCTCAGCATCCCTAACCTCT